GCTGATGTGCTTTGGCGAACGCCCATGACAACGTTGTGAGTGCATTGACACCAGCCAACTGTTCTGAATGCCTACCAAAGTACACTGTCATGCGAGTTCGATAAACGCTCACTGGATGCAATTGAAGCCCACTGGTCTCATATTCACCAGACCTTACTAGCAGCAGGCAAATCCTCATGTGATATGTCTAATCGCCAACATGGACATTGGGTCTCTTCACAGTCTCTGGAACTTATCGATCCTCGCCGGCATATTCCGGCTAGAAGCGAACACAATGAAACTCCGGGCAAAACTCCGTGCTAGCCTGAAGAGAGACCGCGAATACTGGTGGTATCATCGTGCATCAGAGATAGAAATGGCCGCTGCCATTGGTAACCATCGTAAGTTATTCTGTCTGATACGGGAAACGGGTAGCAGGAGACATGGTGTTAGTGAAACTATACGTGACGAGAGTGGAAAGCCTATCCATAACTTATCAAAACGCTTAGAGCGTTGGGCTGAGCAATTTAAAGGGCAATTTAATCGGTCGGAATGGTTAGATTTCTCGCCGGCCACTGATCACCCCAATCCCTGGGCTGTCCATCTAGATCCACTCTCTCGCTCATAAGTCGAACGTGAGATCGCACTGTTGAAGTTAAATAAAGCCGCGGGACCAGATAATCGACCTCCAGTCCTCTTCAAATTCGGGGGACCTGCTCTTGTGGATGATTTACACGAGTTACTAGTGAAACTGTATGAGCAGGAAAATTGAACCAACCGACTGGAGCCGCTCCATCATAGTCCCAATTTTCAAGGGAGGCTCACGATCGGAATGCGGCAGCCATAGAGGAATCAGTCTGATCTCCATCACCTCCAAATTGCGTGCCTCTGTCATCCTTCACAGACTGACTGGCACTTGTGAAAGCCGTATTCCTGAAGCGCAAGCCGAGTTTCGTCGAGATCGTGGCTGCATTGACCACATCTTCACTTTGCGTCAGTTGTTGGAGCACCGTCATATATACTGGCGGCCCACCGTTGTCGTGTTCCTCGATATCAAAGGTGCACTCGATTCGGTGGATAGACTTGCACTTTGGGAATGTCTACTCAGGAAAGGTGTGCCTGAGAAATATGTGAATATTATCAGAGCATTGTATGCGCGTAACTCGGACAGATTGAGGGCTTACGGCAAGTTGTCATCGCCCTTTAATATCTCCAGCGGTGTGAGACAAGAATGCCCGCTGTCACCTTTCCTCATCAACTTCGCTGTTGACGAAGTCATGGAAATCGCGTTCACAGGACACGACTAAGGTGTGGATCTGCTCCCAGGAGAACGACTTCTTGACTTGGAGTATGCTGATGATATTTCACTAATCTGTGACAGCTCACAAACGTGCCAAACGGCACTGGACAGAGTAGCACTAGATGTCCGTCACTTCGGGCTTTGCTTCGCACCCTCGAAGTGCAAAGCGTTCCTCCAAGATTAGAATGGACCGCCTCCTATGCTGACCGTTGGTGGGGATCGGCTAGAAGTCGTTCAAAAATTCAACTACCTGAGAAGTTGTATCAACGCCCCTGGGATTGAGGAGGAGATCACGAACCGTATAGTAAAAGCGCGAGGCGCTTTCTTTAACCTTCATTACTTATGGCGCCGGTGCGACATCACTCTCGCCCTGAGCGGAAGAGTGTACAATGCAGCAGTACGTTCGACCCTATTGTACGGTTGTGAAACCTGGCCGCTTAAAGCAGCGGACCTGAAGAGGCTAGTTACGTTCGACCACCGGTGCCTTCGCAATTTACCTCACATTTGGTGGGAACACCGCGTGCGCAACGAGCGTGTTCGACGCCTTGTTTACGGCACAGGAAAAGGAAATGAACCGTTCAGCACGGTTATTTCACGCACCAGGTTCCGATGGCTCGGCCAGTTGTTGCGCATGCCAACCCACAGACTCCCACGACGTGCGTTGTTTGCGCGCCTGGGGTGTGGATGGAAGAAGAAGGGTGGCCAAGCGATGACGTGGTCGAGAGGAATGAAGACCCTCACTTCTGAGCTGGCCTCGGTTGGAGCGTCTCGGCTCCCTGGTTGGGGTCCGAAAGACGATGAACACGTTTGGTTGGACACACTTGCTGATATGGCTAGGAGCCGACCTCAGTGGCGTTCGCGCTGTGAGTTTCTTTGTCCCACCCCATCCCTCTTAGCCTCCCCCTCCAACCACGTTCTCATTATTTAGCCTTATATAATTTTGCATAGTAATGGTAATAGTAATGGTAGTAATGGTAATAGTAGTGATGCACAGTAGGCGGCTGGTAGCTTACCGGAACGATGCCCATCCGTTACCGGTAGCTCAGCCGGCTTGCACCAGTTGTATTCTTTTTTCTCCTTTTTTCTTTTGTGTATTGGGGCACAGTAGCTGAGGTGTTTCCCACCTATAGCTAACGTGTATAATGATAAGGTTTTTGAACCAGACGATCACAGCACTGTTTTACCACCTGTCATCAACATGCGTGTCACATTAGTGCACATACACTATGGAATCTCCAAACCCAAGATTCAAGGTTGTTTGATGGATCACAGGAAACGGTACTATGACAGAGACACATAAGTCCATCTTATTCTCGAATTTCTCTACAACATCGTTAGTAAGAGTATCAAGATTGACCTCGCTCTGTCTGTTGATTGAGCAGTGCGGATTCGAACAAACAACCAGAGGTTTCGCCACGCAGATGATGGCACAGATCTCTATGAGACTGATGTAGCCATTTTACGAACACTTCTGAATATAGTGAACATGAAGAAAGTTGCAAGTAAATGAGTGCTCAAGCTGTCTCCTCTACCTGTTGAGCCCAAATCAGGATGAAACCGGTCAGTCGTGGAGTGCAGTGTTGGGGAGTGCAGCTACGAAATTAGACACAGCAAAATGCAAATGTGCTTTAGTTTAAAACTCTAGGCAGCACACTGGATACCGTTTGAGGAGTATTCCGCATTCCGACAATTGCCTCACGCCTTCAAGGTGCAGTGCACCGATGGAACAGCTCACTACCAGTTCTCGCGAGCACTGACCAGATACGAATTGATCGGCTCATTTGCCTCGTTAGCGGTTTCACTCATGTTAGACAAACTGTGTAAAGAAAGTAACTATCAACGGAACTGAAGCGCAGATCGTCTCTCGGGACTTCGAACACGTGAAAAGAGTGGGACAAGCTGCCCAGTCAGTTAAGGATGGTAGAGATAAATCGAGGAATACTGGTTCCCGTGTCGATCAGAGACATGCCATCGCGTATTGGGGACATGCAAAGAGTTAGGTTATTGAAGACCAATCACCATACAAATTGCATATATGTAGTGGGAACAGCGACAGTAATGAGAGCGTCCACCGGCTGGTGGGCTGTGACGAGCCTACAGGTGCAAGCTTGAAGAGACTAATGAAACTGAAAAGCCTACTTCGAGGTAAGATATCTGACAAATTAGAAAACATATCGGTGAAGTACTGCAGCGTACTTCAATGTTGTTGCAAGAAATGCGATAGATAGGGGTATGTCCAGATCACCAGCTGCAAATATACTGCCAGCGCTGTTGTGACGAAGAGGCCTGCTCAATTGAAAATAGAATTCGTGTTCCACAGAGTCAAGGCCACCGTTTCTGGGAGCGTAGACAGTAAAGACAAACGGGCACCCGCGCGACTCCGAGGCTTCGAACGAGCCACCTGTAGGACTGCACATATCTAGCTACTGATTTGGATCCAATCGACTAGAACAGCTTCAGCCGCGAGACCCAGAATAACGCCCACACCGGCTTGACCGGTAATCGAAGCTGCGTTGTCCGCGGACACACGAGAAGAAAACGTGCTGCGAGTATTACATAAAGGGGATCGCAAAGCGAGCACAGAGCTCTAGTTGTGCAGGCGAATTTCAGACCAACAATATGTGTCAATCGACAGGGAGTCCAACGTGCAAGGAATTGCAGTCTTTAGACGGAAATGCAACAGTGCCCACATTGAGGTTTGTCGGCCTTAGAGAAGATCGTGGAAAAAGAGAAGTGAATGAACTGCGATTATCCACTTAGTTAGACTTGTTGACGCACTATGAATAAGTGAGTGGAACCTAGAAGATAGATAAAGAATTGAGGGGCTGAAAAGAGGGGGATAAAAGCAAAGTTGGAAAGAAACAATAGGGGTGAAAAGGCGAAAAAAGGACGATAAGGAAACGTGAAGGTTTGGACAGTGTCACTCCAATTCTTATTCATCTAACTTGATGCGGCAAATTGTCTGCGACGGGCGCAGCGCTACAGCCCCCGTAGTGCTTCGCCGAAGCATTTATCGCATCCACAGACAAGTTACATCCAAAATGGGTTCTCCAACTTTTTATTTTGCATTGCAGACGATGATGGAGGCACTAACTGACGTGTTTGATCAATTGTTTGATTAGCCTGGAGACAAACTAGGAAAAGGATATAACGAACATGCCTAGAAGAATGCGTGAAGCAAATGACTGACAACTCTAGTGGTGGGAGTCACATAACCTCTCATATCAGTGGGTAGAAACCTAGCCGATCTGGCAGGGTGGGAAGGTTAATGTGCCATCGGCCAAGTGTTACCAACTTTCATATAAAAACAAGAAAAGCGTTGACAGTGCCCGATTGGTCAATAAGTGTGCATATCTATCTCCAGCACATGTTAAGCAATGTGTTTAGAGTGTGTTAAGCAATGTGTTTATAGTGGGTCCGTCACATCCTTTGGTGTTCTGATTTAAATTGGCTAACTGAGCCGAGCGAAGGAACTGCAACAGCAGCGAACTAGATGATAGCTCCATACAGATTGGAAAAGGAAGTCATGTAGTAAGTGCGCACGGACTCAAACCAGTATCTATTGTATCAGTGAGACGCCTCTAAATGTTAAGAGATTGAGCTAAACGTGTACTAAATTGTGACATGGTAGGCATCACAATTCAAGCGATATCCATCGGAGGGTGAGGCGAGGAGGTGAGAGCAAGAAAAAAAGAGAATGATGTGTAGCAGCGACACGTACCTAACTGAATGCATATCTCCCCAATAGCCCAGATAGCGTTGTTGCTCACAGAGATGTGTTCCGATCCCAAGTTGTTCGCGAGTACCGACATGAACTGACCGATTTGAGGTCGGATATACTCAAAACAAGCCTTAGTTAAATCACCGAGAAGAGCAAAGCTGCTCTGTCGAACATCCGGCTGGGGGTCTTGTGAGGCTTCAAATAGCAACTCGATCAGTGGACTGTTGGACACTAATGCGTACATTTGATTGCCTAATCCTTCGAGCAATCCACTCAACAAATCCAAAGATATGACCATGAAATCCTTGTCGGGGGCTTCGTATGCGTCTGGCTGCTGGGAATGTAGCTGGTAGCGAGAAAAGAAGAAGAAAGGAGCGACAGTATTTACCAAATCGCATGCATCTGACAGAAGAATGAAAATCGAGTAGGGTATCAACGGGAAGTGAAAACTGAGCGATGCGCACGAAACCAAATGTTATCTGACCATGGGCAAAAAGCTCGCAGAGTATAGTTCAGCAAAAAAGATCAGAGGCGGAAAGTGAAACCCAGCAAGCTTATTCATATCATTCGATATTGATGCAGACGAGTGATAAGAATCTATAACGATGGTAGGTGGGGATAAACTTCGCGAAAAATAGCCGACATGCATGATATGTGGAAGTACAGAATCGAACAAGTCAAAGGACAGGGCACAGTTTAGTTTAATTAGCGAACCATCGGCCGAGAATTGATTGGAGTGGATTCAACTATGAGCTGTAATATCATGACGATAAGAGTTGAACAAAGGTGACATGAAGTGAAGAAAGATTGCTAAAGAAATTGACGATAAATGGGATCAGTAGTGGTCTCCAGAAAGTCTGGATGCAAGCAATCGAATGAGGGGCGTTATTGACTATATCATTTAGAGTAAGATGACCTCAAAGCACTGAAGTTACTAGAACGCGTGCACTTGAAGAGGCGCAAACCTACAGCCAACGTTTAATCTCCCAAGGCGGAATCCAATTTACCTTGATCGTCATAGGAATAAGTGGATTGTTGTGGTATGAGAACAAAGTAGTCCAAAGGTAGTGACAAAAGGATTAAATGGTCGGTGATTTTCGCAGAGTTCAGTGAGCTATTATCAAAACTTGGAGAGATGACAACCGCCGAGTGGAGAGTACCTCTTTAGTATACAATATAATGTTGAATAGAGTAGCAAAACTGACTATTAAGTTTTCAATGCAATTTGGCAAAGAAAGAACGAGGTCAGCGTGTCATGTTTCGATTCCTAGAAAGCTCATGTTTGATCTCGTATAGAGTAGAAAGCGTGGTATCCGAATTCCATAGTTCATTGAGATAGCGGCCTAAAAAGTCTGTTAAACTGTTCCACATAACGTATCATCCAGCATTACGATTGAAGTAGTCAAAAAACTACAGTATCAGGAAAAGCTGGCCAACGCTGCTCTGTACCCCACCCATACATACAAAGACAATCATGAACCAACAGTTTCAGAGAAGCAGGTGTGATCTCACAATAATTCCTAACACTGGTAAGTCCAACGGAAACTAACTACATGATCCTACCCTTGATTCAATTTGTCCAGATGGCAAGGCTGACCCAATACCAGGCCAGACACAATTTACACTCAATGCATTAACGTATTCCTTACTGTAAGTTATTCCGGAGTTCACAAGAGACAAAATTGTCTCTACGCCCGAGTGTACTAGCCGTGGGCATGAGAACTCCATCGTCATCTCCATAACAACCCACATTGCATATATATATATATATATATATATATATATATATATATATATATATATATATATATATATATATATATATATATATATATATATATATACGAATACTTTCGATAATCCCGAACGAGTTATCACCGGATTCCCGTCAAGTGGATAGCCCTGTATTGTTCCAACAAATAACGAATTTGTCCCGTCAACCGCTTTTCAAGTGTATTCTGCTACTCAGTGCAAGCGCCATTAAAAACAAAATCCACTTCATACGCTCATTTATCTCACTCTGATGTATAAATCACACTTGTGACAGAAACGTAGTTAACGGAAGATATTCCTGAGTATAACTGCCACATAATGGGTTACAAGACCACGATTAATTGTCCTAATTCCATGCTAGGAGGTAGTTGCGCCATATATGTACATAACACTGTGTATACACCACGTCCAAAGTTACTTCACATAATTGCTTTGAGGACTCCGTCTTTGTAAATGCACAAGTGGATGGCCACATGTTACTCATCGGATGTATACGCATGCATCCAAATTCAAGCGTGGCAGAAGTTAACGAACTGCAAGGTATGTTTCGTCATATAGCAGACCAATCGGTAAAGTACAAGCTAATAGGTGGGGACTATGATTTGCCGGAAATCGCGTTGACCTCAAACCGTGTAAAGGCCAAATACACGAATTTGATTTCTTATACGGATGGATTTAACAGGTCAGATGTCAACCTAGAAAGAATCATACCATTCACCATTGGCATATTAGCAGCATCCGCCGATGTTCCTGTGCACTTTCCTGGTAGTGATCACAGCAATGTCATTTTCATTCAGTAAACTCACAGGATACCAAACATCGCCCGTGCCAAAATTACAAATACATACTAGGAAGTAGCGAGTCATTTACTGGGATGTGCTCGTCAAATTAAGGAGATTTGCTCGATAAAATAGCTTTCGCCTTACTGGAGACACAAGCTGCAGCAGATGTTCTCTATAACAACACTGACATATGTATTGATACACTCGCTCTTATTGCGCGTCGACAGTTTCCTCAAAGGAACGAAACGCGTCACCTAAAACAACCATAAACCTTAACAAGTTGCTAACAGCATATTGTAAAATAAATGACTTCGTTTTCTTGGAAAAACATTAAAAGTTGGCCACAGCTATACAGCTGGCATGTCACACCAAACAGATCGCTTATGAAAAACGGGTCGCGCAGCCAGTATAAAAACCGTGAACTAATCGGTCTTCTAAAGTGTGAAGATACCAAACGGAATCAAGACACGATCTCACTGGTCGCAGCAGATAACCGCATAATAACTGATCTGTCCACAATAGTGAAATATTTAATCAGTATTTTTGCGCCTCCCCTAACGAAGATAATAGCCCTCCAAGACTGGGCATACCACCATCCACAGCTGATCAACTCGGTCATATCAATTTTGAACTCCGTGACGTATACAAGCTTAGAAAATAAACAAAACTACCCTCTTTCAGCGGATCAGATAATGTACCTCGGGCACTTATTAAACTCGGGAGTGCCGACATTCCCTTGCTGTTAGAGAATATGTTCAGTATATCCATGAACTCTGGCACCGTACCATCAACAGTTGAAGGAAGCCATTGTCATACTGCGACGTAAATCAGGCTCGCTGTTCCAAGCAAAGAATTGTCGTCTAATAAATCATACATTTATATTATAAACAATGATGAAGCGACATTTAAAAGCTACCACGGTCGACTTCTTTGTGTCACGCAAGTTAATCAACGACTCACAGAACAGTTTCCCTAGTGCTCGTTCATGCATAATGTGTCAACTTGAATGTCCACATCATCGAACTTCCACACAGGATGACGGCAAATCTGCAACCGTTAGTTACCTCGATATACACAGAGCATTTGGTGGAGAGGAAAACTAATATTCAACAGCCCGTCCAAAGAAGACAAGAAACCCCTGCTTTCGTGGTTCAAACCGTATCTTACAAATCGAACGCAGATGGTGTAGATCAATGGAAACAAATTTGAACCGACTGTAGTTACAAGTGGTGTAGGGTAGTGTCCTTGGTCGTCTATTGTTCTTTCTGGACGTTAATGGCGCGGTGAAATTCGGAGTAGCATACGTTTTTGACGACGATATCACCCTGCTACCATAAACGAAGCTACCATAAACTACCATAAACGGAAACTTGTGGTCAAAGTAAGAAATGCTAGTTACGACAGACAGGTGTTTAGTAATGACTTACAAATGCGACATTACATCTAGCTGTCTGACCATATGTGATAAAGCAATTCATATACGAAACACCGTTCGGAACCTGGTAGAGATAATTATGCACACTGAACTTTTCCGAACAGGTAACATCACCGCAAAGGCCGGAGAGAGTATTTAAATTATAAGAATCTATACTCTCCGCTTATTCATCACTTTCTCGTATCCTATTGGTATAGTGCTCAATGGTGCACAGTAGCACAAACAAAGACGACCGCATTGCATTAGAAAATGTACAAGGAATATTCACAGGGCGTTTATTAAGTGCCTCATTGAATATTTTGAACGAGATGAGAAACTCAAACGTGAGCCCCTTTGGCTGAGGCGCATGTAGCACAACCCAACCATAGTCTTTAATGTTCTGCACAAGAAAATGCAACTTTCCAACCTTAATAAGACAATAACACATTTACCACTATACAACACAAGAAATAAGGCGAATTTAGTATTGTAATGCAGGCCGAAGACAAGCAGCTCCTCCAACTTCTTTCTTAACAGACATACCAGAAGTTGGAACAAATTACCACCCGAAAAACGTGCTTGTAATGCAGGGCATAAATTTCGCAAAAAGGACCAGCAATTATTTGACTGTGCAAAACGTTATCAACCTATCGGGATGTTACATAACAGATAGCCAGACATTCGAAGAAGGCGAAGTATTCAAATGGTCCAGAAAACAGTCCAAAACAGAGAGCGAATAATACGGTGGAAAAGTCTTTAAAGTCACTGTCCTTATCTTCTTTATTCTCCTACACTGCTATGCCAACCACAAAGGTGCCACCAACAAGTGTGTACTGAGGGATGAAACCAAACAAACAAACCTCTAAATTCCCTGCCTTCATCGTCAGTGTTCCTTTGTAACATTGAAACAACAATCAACATTCATGTACTATAAAAATTGGAAGTCCATTTGCATTGCTGTTGTACATTTTCAGATCATTCGTGATCGTTGCACTAGAAAATGCTTGTATTTACATGAACATGCCGTCAGAGGCGTGTTTCGCTGAAAAGTAGAATATACATTTTGTACTGAGTCACCAATCGAAGGCTTTTCTCCAAGCGTGGTATGGATGATTTGGGATAGTACTCGGTCAGTTACGATAGCACCAGTTTTCTGCATCGCACGGGCCAGTGTGGCACCAAGACTCCTGGCCACTTGCGCTGTCTCAAATGAAGTGCAGTTCCATGTGATACCGGATGGTTTAAAAGTTTTTTTCCGGTGTTGGAATCATGCTGTTCCTTCTACAGCGCCGAAAAATTCGATTTGTGTGCTGTGGAATGTGCGTACCAGATGTGGCGAAGAAAGTCTGGCACATAAACTAAGACTAGTGAACCGAG